GTGGAAGTTTTCTCAGTTTAGCCACCTAAACTGATGGGAAAACCCTGGTGTCCTGAAGATTTTCACCGATGACATCAATGGCAACCACGCCCCTGGCTTGATCCAAATTACCGTATACCGAAACTTCCAGTCAGAAGGGATGTCGCAACCATGTTTGATCATCACTTTTAAACATTTTTTAACTAACTATATTTAACTATATTGTTTGATCAATGGTTCTTAATATTCCATTGATTAGTAACAACCGGGTTTTGATATTAACATATTAACTACAGCATATCGTCTGATACTAGGTTTTGCATACGTCTGGGCTTTGGCGATGACATTGAATTGGCGGAAGAGAAGCGATCGCGTCGCAGGGGAATCAAACGCGTCACTTGGAGATGGCAAGGGTCGTATTTTCTGTCAAGTTTTGAAAGTGTGGTGGATCCGAAACTCGGACATCTTTGATCATAGAAATATACCAAAATGCATGATTTTGTGTCTGAAAATGGGGAACATGGAACATCCCTCCAGTTATTTTGCGTTTTAAAAATGGGACGATGATGATGCACCAGTGGAGCCGCAGTGCCACCTGGTATAAAGGATCCCAACAATGATGTGCTATATACTATATGTTCATAGAATTTAATAGACATATATTCCACGAGGCTTTCGCTTGAGGATGTATTTACTGTAGTAAGGGCAAAGGATTTCTGAGATATATGATCATTTCTTGACTAGCAATATAGTTGCAAACTTGATATACTCAGTTTCACGGCCATTTAATGTCTCTTATGGGATGCAACACGGGATACTCACCAATCTTATGGTCATTCGAGTTAGATCTGATGATGATGATGATGATGATTGATGATTGATGATTGTCGATTGACGATTGACGATTGATGATTGATTTATGATGACTGATGATTGATGATTGATGATGATTGATGGTGATGATGATGATGATGATGCTGGTGATGGTGATGATGGTGATGGTGATAGGTGATAGATGATAGATGGTTGATGGCTGATGTTTGATGATTGATGACTGATGATTGATGACTGATGATTGATGATTGATGACTGATGATTGATGATTGATGACAGATGATTGATGATGGTGATGATGATAGTGATGATGATGATGATGATGATGATGATGATTGATGATGATTGATGATGATAGATGGTGATGATGATGATGATTGATGATTGATGATTGGCGATTGACGATTGACGATTGATGATTGATTCATGATGACTGATGATTGATGATTGATGATGATTGATGGTGATGATGATGATGATGCTGGTGATGGTGGTGATGGTGATAGGTGATAGGTGATAGATGATAGATGATTGATGGCTGATGTTTGATGATTGATGACTGATGATTGATGCTTGATGACTGATGATTGATGATTGATGACTGACGATTGATGATGATGATGATGATAGTGATGATGATGATGATGATGATGGTTGATGATGATGATTGGTGATGATGATGATGATGATGATGATGATGATGTGATGATGATGATGATGGTGATTTTGGTAGGTGATAGATGATAGATGATAGATGGTTGATGACTGATGATTGATGATTGATGATTGATGACTGCTGATTGATGATTGCTGACTGATGACTGATGATTATACTTGATGATGGTGATGATGATCTGTTTTTGTTCCAGTTGGGTGGCGTATGGTGGCGTTCACTGCGCGATTTTCCTCCATTTTGTAGAACCATTCTCGGTAGATGATGGGTTTCCTGGAAGATCCTCGTAGATAGAAAAGTGGAAAACCATGGAAACCCCGGAAATACGAAGCAAATGTATCATCTATATAATCTATAACCTCCTGGTTTCACGTGTTTCCGTTTTTTTTTTTTTCGGGGGTCGAATCTCAAAATGGAGACGTTACGCTGTAGCACCAGGTGAGCAGCTGGAGAAAATCCGAGATCAACGCGAATCGAAAATCGATGGACTCAGAAGCCGCATGATGCAGCTGGGACGGGCCCAACAAAACGTTGCTTTGTTCCAATGTCCGCTTCAGCAACTACGGATCAGCAACTACGCTTCAGCAACCACGACTCAGCAACCACGGCTCAGCAACCACGGCTCAGCAACCAAACTCTACTCTCGCTTCAGCAACCAAACCTCAGCAACCAAAACTCACCCCCTCTGGCAAGCACATACAAAGTCACATCTTACATTACACGATCAAAATCCCACCCCCTCTGGCAAGCACATGCACAGTCTCATCTTACACGTCATATCAAAATCCCACCCCCTCTGGCAAGTACATGCACAGTCTCATCCTACACGTCATATCAAAATCCCACCCCCTGTGGCAGGTACATGCAAAGTCACATCTCACACGTCATATCAAAATCCCACCCCCTCTGGCAAGTACATGCACAGTCACATCTTACATTACACGATCAAAATCCCACCCCCTCTGGCAAGCACATGCAAGGTCACATCTTACACGTCATATCAAAATCCCACCC